GAATGGCACACACACAATACATGTCTCAATTGTCTCAAAGCTTAAAAATCCATCTTTAACCTGTCTCCTCCCCTTCATCTAGACTGATTTGAAGTGAATTTAACAAGTGACATCAATAAGGGATCATAGCTTTAACCTGGTCCTTCTATGTCATGGAAAGAGTCATGTTTTGTACACTCAGTGTATATTAATTTATACACAAAACAATTCATGTAGCAACTGTGGATAGGCCCTTTAAGTGCTCTATATCTTCTCAATTCTTACCAAAGTGAAGTTCTCTGTTCTCAAATAAAAAAATTGACAACATTCATGCATATCAATTGGAGGAAATTGCCTTTTTGGTAACAAACTGTGTAATACATACTGTGTATTTCCCATCTAAAATTATAAAAGCTTTTCATAGTCATATGGAAATGCTGACCTGTGAAAAGGCCGGCGCACTTGCAGATTTTTAAAAGCATGCTCGACATGATAAAAACCAACAACTGATTGGGGCTAACTTTAAGATATTGCCAATCATAGTTAGGCTACCTGCCTAGTGGAATGTCAAGTGAAGGGTTCAAGGCTTCTTGTAAGGGATAGATGATGACGAAGGGCACTTACAATGGTCTCGTTGGCACTAAGGCAAAGGAGGAGGAGCACTGTACTGGCTGAGCCTGTGGTCCCATGCATCCACCATGTTCGGTCACCCCTGTCTAGCTAATGACTGTACCACTGCTAATATCCACCCCTCCAACGTGTCCTCCTTATCTCTCCACCATCATGTTGCTGTCCATGTCATTCAGCAGGTAAATGTCCGTGTGGCACGTCAGCCTCAGACGCATCTGTTGAGAAGAGAGGAGGGTGAGAGATGGTTCATCTCATGTAATCTGAGTTTGATTATCGTATTACTTAAAGTCATATGCACTCGATTGGTGGGACGTCCCGTTCATCAACTCATGAATCATTCCCGGCATGCTTAAGCAGTTGTATGTTGACTACGCATAGGCTACGTACTGTAAGCAGCAAAGCACTTTTCATCAAGTGATCGTGACTGGGATTGTTCAATACTAATACGTTGGAATCTATAGTCTCAAAAACTTAGAAATGCAAAGAAATCTATTCACTGACACCAACCAAAAACATAGTATGTGCTTACCAACACAACACTTTTTACTCATTGGGCCTGGTGGTATTTATTCATTATTGTGAAATCACAGTACAAAGTTCAGGAGCATAAAATGCGATCAGCCCAGTGCAATGCATAACTGCAGGAGTATGGGACATCAGGACTTTTATTATGAAGTGGTTGCTAAAGACCAAGAGCTAAAACACCACCCACATCAACGGATAGTGGTTTGGATCAATTGCAAGTGATCATATCTTGAGTTCATTCATTTACATTTACATTTTAGTCATTTAGAAGATGCTCTTATCCAGAGCGACTTACAGTTAGTCTCTTGCTTTGATTGTTCTTCATAATGGTGGAAGTATCAGGCCTGCTCACCTTAGGTGATAAGTCACATTTTGAAACCATGGACGGTGGGGTATGGATGAAAATTAATTCCCACACCCACTGACACACAGTCATGCTATGTATATTTTTTGCCCCTGGTGGAAGGGTGCATGGGTGGAAAACAAACTTGCCGTGACATAACTGGTAACACTGAAGTAGAAAGGCTTTATATAAGACAGTGACTATCTACTTCGGTGGATTACACCTGACACAAAACATTCATTAAAATTATCAGTTGTGTGTATTTTTCTTCCCATGAAAAAATATGAATAACCCACTTTGGTTTATATAATTCTACTCATGAACATTAATCATATTTTATCATGTATTGACTACACCTCTTACACACCCTTTCCCTTTCAATGTTGCCATGAGACAAGATGGAGTTTTTTTTAACAGGTTGGTGATGAATAGAGTGGGGTGGGGAAAGATGAGTGTTTTACTTACTGCATGGACGTCCTGTACAACAGGAACAGCCAGCTTGTAACATAAGTCAACAGAAACGGGCGTCAAAGACCACCTAATTACAGACATCGGAGTAAAACAAGCTTATATTTTTGGTTCTGATGGGGTATACCAGTTGAACTAAGCTCATGAGGCATTTCTAATAAATAATATTCTTCAAGAATCAATACACTGAGTGTATGAAACATTAGGAACACCTTCCTAATATTGAGTTGCACCCCCTTTTGCCCTCAGAACAGCCTCAATTCGTCAGGGCATGGACTCTACAAGGTGACGACAGCGTTCCACAGGGATGCTGGCCCATGTTGACTCCAATGCTTCCCACAGTTGCGTCAAGTTGGCTTGATGTCTTTTGGGTGGTGGACCTTTCTTGATACACACGAGAAACTGTTGAGCGTGAAAAACCCAGCAGCGTTGCAGTTTTTGACACACTCAAACCGGTGCGCCTGGCACCTACTACCATACCCCGTTCAAAGGCACTTCAATCTTTTGTCTTGCCCATTCACCCTCTGAATGGCACACACACACAATCATGTCTCAATTGTCTCAAGGCTTCTTTAACCTGTCTCCTCCTCTTCATCTACACTGATTGAAGTGGATATAACAGGTCACATCAATAAGGGATCATAGACTATCCAGGTGAAAGCCATGTCATGGAAAGAGCATGTTTTGTACACTCAGTTTAATCTATACAGGACCTTCTAAGCAGGTTTGCATGGCTGGGAGTTTCAGCTTTCCGTGGTGACATCACCACGTGGTACATTTATTAATAGACCAATAACAAAGAGTTCCAAACCTCTCTGCCAATAACAGCTAGTTTTCTGTTTGCCACGCCCCAGACCACTCCCAGACAGTCCTAGTACAATTCTTGCTTGAGAAATAGTTTTTTGCTAAAAAGCAGTAAGGTACTTAATTGTTACCCAGAAGCCTAGTGTTTAAGAGCGTTGGACCAGTAACCCAAAGGTCGCTGGTCCGAAACACTGCAACGACTAGGTGAAAAAATAAAATATCTGTCTGTGCCCTTGAGCAAGGCACTTAACCCTAATTGCTCCAGGGTCACCGTCAATGGCTGATCCCTGGCTGTGACCCCACTCTCCGAGGGTGTCTCAGGGGGAGTGGGATATGCAAAAAAAAAAGTTAAATTCACATGCATATAATACACACTTGTACATGTGTGAAATAGGACAAACATAAGCACCCACCTAATTATTATTAAAAGAGGATTTTTGTTGTTGTTGAAGAAACTGATATTAAAAACAAAGTTGTATCGTAAATCCTTTATCGGACACCAAGACACGAGACATCTAGAAATATCCATGTTTGTTTTGATTTTTATTTTGGATACATGGTGTTGCTTCATTCAGTAGTGAGAGACAGACACTGTCGTATAGCTTATATCTACAGTATGCTTCACTTGGTTCTGCTGGGTTCAAACACACCTCTAGTCAGAACAATGCACTGGTAACAGAGTCTGCTCAACATGTCTGTCTGCCTGTATTACACAGAGAGAGGCACTGGTATGACACTACAGATAAAGTTACATTTGAGTTTCATCTCTTAAAACATTGGTAAAAACATAGTAAAATCCTTAAAACCTTTTATAGCTGCTGAATATTATTCTTGGTCAAATAGATTGAGCTTGACCATGCAAGAACTGCATGAATTAGGCTTACAGATTTCATTTGGTCTGTTGCATTAAACATCAGCAAGAAACCAGTTCTGTGTTTGTATGTTCAATCTTAAAACAATAATATATTGCTGACAAGCAAAACATTTTGGGACTATGTCAACAATGGACCAAATACCAAAAGATAGTTTTTGGGTGGAATCTTCCTTTAAAGGGATGTCCCAGAGTCAGATGAACTTGTGGATACAATTTTTATGTCTCAGTGTCCAGTATGAAGGAAGTTAGAGGTAGTTTTGCGAGCCAATGCTAACTAGCATTAGCACAATGACTAGACTTCCAGTCATTGCGCTAATGCTAGTTAGCAATTGCGCTAGCACTAGTTAGCAACTTCCTTCAAATTGCATGCAAAGACATAAAAATGGTATCCATGAGTTCATCTGACTCTGGGGAAGTAGATAAAGGGCCTCATTGCCAAAATCCCGAAGTATCCCTTTAAGGGCAATCAACTTGTTATAATAGAATTTCAGTGTCTGACTTTGATCTCACTTTGAATTATAGGTTTTTGTTATCTATCCAAGGTTTTGTTGGAATGAAAACAATCATATAAATCTTATGAAAAAGCATTGAGGCATGATAGGAAATTACTCATGAACACTTTTAAAAGTCCTGTAATTCCAATCTGATGTTTATCAAAACTATTACAATTAACATTCTCAAGATAAAGAAACTAACATCAAGTGGTATGTCATAACAGACGTAATTTAGTAAAGTGAAGGTAGCAAGGTGCAATGTTATTAGTATCACATTACAAAAAGTCTACCACAGGGTTTTGTTAGACAATTGGCAAAATTCTCAATTAAAAGATATGCGAGAATTCTTTAATTACTCGCCATAACAAGGACATTACACTTAAAGTTTGTTGTCCTTTCTAGTCACATCCAAATTGTACACACTTGTCCATTCCTCTGTCCCAAATCCTCACTTCTAGTGGGTAACAACCCCTCAATATACGAACGGATGATAACGTTAACAGTTTTGAACTCTGAAAAGATCAGTTTGAATGTAGAGGTGTGTTCAGAATACTGACTAAAAGCTAGTTTTTAAAATGATGCTCAACCCAAACTAAAAGTGTTCCCTTCCCATGTTTTCTTTTGCTGAAAGGTGAGAAGCTGGACTGTTAACTGTAATTATAATGTTGAACAAAATTCTAAAATTAATTCAATAATACAGCGAGGAAGAGAGATATACTCACAAGTTCTACATTTGACCAAATAATCATAAATGGTGTCTTCACATACAGAGGTACAATAACGGAAATACATACAGATAGATAGCAGCTGCCAAATACTGTAGACTTCAGCTTATTATGATGTCAGCAGGTTAAGAATTTCCATTTTGCCAGATCAGAACTTTTCATATCTTAACCTGGAATAGGACTGCAATAATTGGAGAGAAATAGAATTCAAACTTAATTTTCTAATTGAAAAGCATAAGAATGTCACACCCGCTCTGCTTGAGCATTGAAAATAAAGGAGATGGGATATCAAAAACTATGGCTGAACACTGAGGATTCTCTCAAAGGGACAGGGAGGCCTTTGAACAGGAGGGAGGTTATTTGTTGTAACTGGGTTTTACATAATAAACTTTAAATAAACCCCACATACCAGTAGCTCAACAGAACTGAACACGATAAAACATTTAGAATAGTGGGGGGGAAATGTTCTCTAAACTGTTGATCTCATGATTAGAGATATCGGGATATGTCTTAAAATCTCTATAAAAGGTGCAAGTCTCTCTCTCGCGAAGCCTGAAGGACAAGACAGACCAACAAGAACATCTGTTATGCGCAGCGAGTGCGTCATTTTCTGTTCGGACGTCATTTTCTGTTCATTTCCCAACGATTCTACATGTTGAATGGCCAACGTTTGTCGACACCTAGCAGGTGATCTACTGTGCACGGCCGACGTTCGTGTTGGTCTGTCTTGTCCTTTAAACACTGTCCTGTTCCGTTTTAGGTGTCATACGCTGGCTGTTCCTCAATGAACACAGCAGGTCTGTTGTTGCTTACCCTGCTGCCCAGACAGGACACGTCCAGACAGGAGACCCCGAGGGCTATCAGACACTGCCACGTCTGTAGACACACAGAGAGGGGAGGAGGTCAGAAGAGGGTCACTGTACTCCCTATAATAGTTTAGAATATATCTTTCCAAACCATATCCCTGCATTCAGTATCTAGTATTCAGCATTGAAAGGTAGCCACTTTATTTGATCTACAGTGTTGTGTGCTCATCTAGCCCGGTTCATGCTGTTATAATGAATGCTACAGTAACTCACCAGGTAGCACACAAAGCTTAGGTAGGCTATGCAGAGCAAGGCCACCAGCACGTAGAGCGCCACACTGTTCAGGCTGGTCACGTAGACCACCACAAAGTACATGTTTATGGCACAGACCACCAGGATAACCACCCCTCCGCCAATCTTCCACACCCTGAGGAGCATAGTCACAGCCGAGACGGTTAGGCGTCACAATGATAAAGTGTCACTGTTATCACATTAATTAATTAATTGGTCTATCAGTGCAAATACAGAAACAATCTGACTGCGTCCCAAATGGCACCCTATTCCCTACAGAGTGCACTAAGTAGGGCACTATATAGGGAATAAGAATCCATTTGAGATGCTTCCCGTCATCACGTCTATGAATGAATTGGTCTATCAGTGCAAATACAGAAGCAATCTTCAGTGTTATATGGGTTGAGGGTTATGGTGACTCACAGTCCATTAGCAAAGTCATCCATGATGGATGTCAGACTGGTGAAGGTCAGGATGGGGATCAGAGCAAACGGCAGCTGTGGAACAAGGAGAGACAGAAAGAACAGTAAGAACTCACTACAGTCAGTCTCCTTCAATAGCTTTTAATACAAGCATCAGTATAAAAACCCCAAAGACTCCCAACCAGCCCAGAGTAGCTGCTACCCCTCTCTCTAACCTGCAGTCCCTAGCCCCCGTCTCCACTCTCTCCTCTCACGGTCCTGCACCCGTCTCCTCTCCTCCCTGACCAGCCCAGTCTCTTCTCTCTCTGCATGTCCCCAGACCCCTTCTGCGTCCCAAATGGCAACCTATTCCCCATTTTGTGCACTACTTTTGATAGGGCTCTGGTCATGTCTTCTCTTCTCTCTCTGACCTGCATGCTCTGCAATACGTTGAGGAAGTCGTTCATGCCCGTTAGGTGCTGCACGTCCTGAAAGATGGCCACCAGCAGGGTAGGGAAGATGGCGATGGAGCGGGTGAGAAGCACCCGGGCAAAACGGGACCAACGCAGGTTCAGGAAACCCTGAGGCAGGGGAAGAGAGAGAAAATAGTCAACATACAGACAAACACACATCCCGACTGACAGAACCCTGAGGTGTGTACATACCAACACGCATACACAAGGATTAACTTAAAAAGGTTAACAATACAATGTGCACTCTCACACACACAAACAAACAAACACGGTAGTTGGGTACTTGTGCATGTTCTCACCTCCATGACAAACTGGCCAGAGTAAGTGCCTGTCATGGTGGAGCTCTGTCCGGCAGCCAGGATCCCGATGGCCCAGATGTAGAGGGCCGCAGGGCCAAAGAAACAACCCAGCACCACCCCCTGTATAGAGTGAGTGAGAGAGGGAGTTTGTATACATTCCCTCCATGGTTATTCATATTATCAACACCGAACAAATGTTCATTTCATGGCAAAATGATCGACTGAGATAGCAGGTATATGCAGTATCAAAGTGATTTCATATCACAGGTTATATAGATTGTTGTTCATCCTTAAAAGACGTACCCCTTTGTAGATGTCCACCTGTAGCGTGCTGTTGTCCAGGGGGAAGAGGTCTGTGTGAGGACTGCCTGATGCATTGCATTTTGCATTCTGTGACAAACAGATAGGAACAGCAGCACATCACAAACAAGGAAGGTCACTGGTTTAAAGGTGCCATACTGATGCTATATTACTGTATAAATCATCTGTAACGGATTGTTACATTCTGAGACAAGGAGACATGCTGGGTCTGGTTAGTTGTTATACCCACCACCTCAATGTTGGTTTTGTCATAGAAGGCCTCAGCAAACACTGCTACAACAAAGACGTTGATGAGGAAGGAGATGAAGAGAGCGATAGTTGACTCGATGAAGTAGTATTTGTTGGCCTCCTTCACCTCTTTCTTGTTCCCACGATCTATTTGCCGAGACTAGACGATAAAATATCATTCAAATTAATGAACTAACATATAATCCCAATTCCTGTGACATTGTACTTTCTGGTTGTTTGGCCCAAAAATGTATAAATGATTTTATTCCAATCGTTCTTAAATGTTTTCACCAATATTTTGTGTGTCATAGTAAAGGTCCGTGACGACCCTGTACTATGTCATAGTGAAGGTCTTTGACTCCTCAGTGCTATGTCATAAAGCAGGTCTTTGACTCCTCAGTGCTATGTCATAAAGCAGGTCTTTGACTCCTCTATGCTATGTCATAAATCAGGTCTTTGACTCCTCTGTTCTATGTCATAAAGCAGGTCTTTGACTCCTCTGTTCTATGTCATAGTCAAGGTCTTTCACTCCTCTGTGCTGTCATAAAGTAGGTATTTGACTCCTGTGTCATAGTGAAGGTCCTACACTCCTCTATACTATGTCATAATGCAAGAGACCTACCTTGACGAGGGCAGAGTGCAGGTAGATGTTGTGGGGCATGATGACTGCTCCTACGATGCCCACAGCCTGCTCCATCTGAGCAGAATCACAGTCCTCACAGTACGGCAGAAACATCCCCTTCAGCAGCTCCCCCTGGTCCGGACGCACCATCACATACTACAGGCACACGCAAGAGAAGACAGTCAGATGCACACACGCAGAAACAAAAACCTACCAAATTCTATCAAAGCTGCGCTACATACTATCAAAACCAGCTGCCAGGTTTACGGAAGTTTTATAGATGAACACAGGGAAAAGCTTGTTCTTACCTCATACCCAAAGCTTACAGCCATGATGGTGATGAGAAACCCAAAGAAGGCTTCTAGTTTCCTCAGGCCTAATAAACAAAAGTCAGATATCATATTGAAACACGCCCAGACAGAAATGGACACACACCTGAACCCAAGGATTATTAAATCACATACACATCTTAATGTGTCGAAGAAACACTCACCATATTTATCTAGAAAAAGGAACACAAAGGTGTCAATGATGGTGATAAGGACACCTCCCCAAAGTGGAATCCTGGTAGATAGCAAACAACAATGTTAGTTTGACCCCAATACATTTATCTCTAGAGCGGCCGTTGTATGCATCCCAAATGCCACCCTATTCCCTATATAGTGCACTACTTTTGACAAGAGGCACCCTATTCACTATATAGAGCACTACTTTTGAACAGGGGGCACTGTATAGGGAATAGGGTGTCATTTGGGACGCACTCTTTGTGTAGTGTAGTGTAGTGTAGTAAAGTGTAGTTGGGTGCTGGTGGGTGGTACTGTAGCTACCTGCCCATAGAGAGGAGGTTGAAGGCGATGGCACAACCGATGACCTCCTGCATGTCTGAGCCGATGATGGCCAGCTCCACCATCAGCCACAGGATGATACGAGGAACCTTGGACAGGATGGAGGTGTGAAGAACAAGACTGGATATAACACACAGCAATCACATTCAATTAAGTTCACCAAAACCAAACCCTTCTATATGGTGTAGGGCGAGGGAGGGTTACTCACAGTGGGGTACTGGCGGTTGCAGACCTCTGCGAGGTGCATCCCTGTGACGACCCCCAGGCGTGCAGCCAGTCTCTGCAGGAGGAGGCCGATGATGGTGGCCCCCAACAACACCCACAGGAGCTGAGAGAGAGAGAGAGAGAGAGAGAGAGAGGGGGGGGGGGGGTAGAACTTTGCCTTTGAGTAAATTATTTTTCATAGTATTTGAGCATGGTTCAAAAAGCTCTACAGCTGCACCATTGAAAGCATCTTGTTGGGCTGCATCAGCGCTTAGTATGGCAACTGCTTGGCATCCAACCGCATGGCGCTACAGAGGGTAGTGTGTACGGCCCAGTACATCACTGGGGCCGAGCTCCCTGCCACCCAGGACCTCTATACCAGGCGGTGTCAGAGTAAGGCCCTAAAAACTGTCAGACTCCAGCCACCCAAGTCATAGACTGTTCTCTCTACTACCGCACAGCAAGCGGTACCGATGCACCAAGTATGGAAACCAGGACCCTGAACAGCTTCTACCCCCAAGCCATAAGACTACTATATGATATATTTGACAAAAATCACAATACAACCACACATGTGGATACAATGCATTTAAAAATCATCAAGTATAATTAAAAAAGGTTTGAAACTTATTATTTCCATTGTGGTCCCCTCTTGTTAACTAAATACATCATTCATCAATGAACAACAAATGAAAGCTGGAAAACGAATAGAGTTGAGGCAGTTTGGAAAAGTCAGTATGGCTTGAGTGGAGGGGGCATCGATGGTACAGTACAGCTAGGGAGAAAGTCAGTCTGTCAGACAAGCCAGAAGCTCTTCATCAGGGTCCATCACTTTGTCTGACGTTCCCAGTTCCTTCATAGTAGCCGCTCCTCCGTAGTTAGCTGATCCTCCATTGCCGACAGTGTAGCACCCACCTGGGTGATGCTTTAGCTTCAGTAAAGCACCAGAAAATTAACCACATATCAGCAGTGGTCAGGAACAGTTCCTCCGCCTCTCTGACATCTCAGACACCGCAGTCTCCACCTTCCAACCGGCAGGTGAAACAAAAAAGCCGGAGCTGCTGCTGCATTATTTAAATGCAAACATTAGACATCCAGCTAGCTAGCCAGCCAAGGCAAACACACGGATTTAACATCAAAGTCCTGTAACTTTTACATTGAAGACCACCATGTGATCAAAACAGAGAATTATAAAAAATAAAAAGTTTATTTAAACATTTAACAAAAACGAGTATGAAATATTTACAAAATGTACAGGAGCTCTCTTCCTAGGCTCACAGCACCATGGCTAAATAGTTAGTTAAATAGTTAACCAAATAGCTACCCAGACTATCTGCATTGACCATTTTTACACTAACACTAACTTTGACTCATCACATATACTGCTGCTACTGTTTATTATATATCACGTTGCTAGTCACTTTATTCGTAGTTATATGTACAGTGCATTCGGAAGGTATTCAGACCCCTTGACTTTTTCCACATTTTGTTACGTTACAACCTTATTCAAAAATATATAAAAATTTTTATAATCTCATCAATCTACACACAATACCCCCATAATGACAAAGCAAAAACAGGTTTTTAGAAATGTTTGCAAATGTATAAAAAATAAAACACGGAAATATCACATTTACATAAGTATTCAGACCCTTTACTTTGTACTTTGTTGAAGCACCTTTGGCAGCGATTACAGCCTTGAGTCTTCTTGGGTATGACGCTACAAGCTTGGCACACCTGTATTTGTGGAGTTTCTCCCATTCTTCTCTGCAGATCCTCTCAAGCTCTGTCAGGTTGGATGGGGAGCGTCGCTGCACAGCTATTTTCAGGTCTCTCCAGAGATATTCGATCGGGTTCAAGTCCGGGCTCTGGCTGGGCTACTCAAGGACATTCAGAGACTTATCCCCGAAGCCACTGCTGCATTGTCTTTGCTGTGTACTTAGGGTCGTTGTCCTGTTGGAAGGTGAACCTTCGCCCCCAGTCTGAGGTCCTGAGTGCTCTGGAGCAGGTTTTCATCAAGGATCTCTCTGTACTTTGCTCCGATCATCTTTCCCTCGATTCTGACTAGTCTCCCAGTCCCTGCCGCTGAAAAACATCCCCACAGCATGATGCTGCCACCACCATGCTTCACCGTAGGGATGGTGCCAAGTTTCCTCCAGACGTGACGCTTGGCATTCAGGCCAAAGAGTTCAATCTTGGTTTCATCAGACCAGAGAATCTTGTTTTTCATGGTCAGAGTCCTTTAGGTGCCTTTTGGCAAACTCCAAGCGGGCTGTCATGTGCCTTTTACTGAGGAGTGGCTTCCGTCTGGCCACTCTAACATAAAGGCCTGATTGGTGGAGTGCTGCAGAGATGGTTGTCCTTCTGGAAGGTTCTCCCATCTTCACAGAGGAACTCTGGAGCTCTGTCAGATTGACCATCTGGTTCTTGGTCACATCCCTGACCAAGGCCCTTCTCCCCCGATTGCTCAGTTTGGCCAAGCAGCCAGCTATAGGAAGAGTCTTGGTGGTTCCAAACTTCTTCCATTTAAGAATGATGGAGGCCACTGTGTTCTTGGGGACCTTCAATGCTGCAGACATTTTTTTGTACCCTTCCACAGATCTGTGCCTCGACACAACCCTGTCTCGGAGCTCTACGGACAATTCCTTCGACCTCATGGCTTGGTTTTTCCGAATGCACTGTACATATCTACCTCAATTACCTCGTACCCCAGCACATCGACTCAGTATTGGTACCCCGTGTATATAGCCAAGTTATCGTTACTCATTGTGTATTTATTATTACTTTTCTATTATTTCTCTATTTTCTTTCTCTCTGCATTGTTGGGAAGGGCCCGTAAGTAAGCATTTCACCTGTTGTTTACGAAGCATGTGACGAATAACATTTGATTTGGTACCCCTGCCCCTTGAGCGAAGGTCAACCAAGGCTGCTGTTGTGTTTGTGTTCACCTTAAAGCCAGCTTTAGCTCCAGACTGCAGGTCGGACTCGATGTTCCCTGGGTCAAGATAGGCTATGCTCATCAGGAAACCTGGTCCCGTAAAAGCCCAGAGTTTACGGAAACTGAATATCTGAAAAGAGAGGATCACAAATAGTACAATCAACACCTGAAAATAAATCTTAGCATGAAGTATTATCTGTCATTGAAGTTATAATTTCTAAATTATTCTATACAAATAGTAACTTTGTGTATCACTTTATTCAGGTCATAAGCTTAGTGTAATAGGCTCTTTGAGGTCATAAGCCCTTAGAAGATAGGCCCTGTGATGTCAATGACCATGTGAGGTATTGATAATCCCTGTGATGCCATAGGCTCTCTGACTCAATAATAACTGTGATGTCATAGACCTAATGAGGTAATAATAATTCCTGTGATTCCATAGGCTCTATTCCTCAATAATAACTGTGATATAATATACCTTATAAGGTCATAATTGCCCATGTGATGCCATAGGCTCTGGGTTCATCTGTGTGAGGTCATAACCCCTGTGATGCCATAGGCTCTGTGAGTTAATACTTCTTGTGATGTCATAGACCCTGAGGTCATAGGTAATCTGTGTGAGGTCATAGGCCACATGGCCTCAGTACCTGGGTGACATCCTCTGGAATGGGCACCTTCTCCTCAAAGTATGTGGAGAAGGGCTCGTCGTCCAGGTCCCCGGCCACTGGCGAGGCAGGAGGGGAGGTGGAGCTGTACAGGCCCTGGGTGCTCTGGATGACCCCATTCTCCTGAGGAGGTTCCTCTGTGAGTGAGTGAGTGAGTGAGTGATTGATTGAGAGCGAGAGGCAAAAATGACACTAAAATTTCCACCCAAGAAGCATGTTGCCTATACTTTGTTCTATTGACATGAAAACAACTATTGTGATAACATGACCCTGAGCAATATGAAGAGAGATTCTATTCTACCCACACTATTCCCATGACCAAGCCATTTGTTCCATACAGCAGCAGATTAAAGCAGAAATTCATTGGCAACCATACTTTCAGTCTCTACTAGCTACAGTGGGGAGAACAAGTATTTGATACACTGCCGATTTTGCAGGTTTTCCTACTTACAAAGCATGTAGAGGTATCTAAAACAAAAATCCAGAAAATCACATTGTATTATTTTTAAGTAATTCATTTGAATTTTATTGCATGACATAAGTATTTGATACATCAGAAAAGCAGAACTTAATATTTGGTACAGAAACCTGTTTGCAATTACAGAGATCATACGTTTCCTGTAGGTCTTGACCAGGTTTGCACACACTGCAGCAGGGATTTTGGCCCACTCCTCCATACAGACCTTCCCCAGATCCTTCAGGTTTCGGGGCTGTCGCTAGGCAATACAGACTTTCAGCTCCCTCCAAAGATGTTCTATTGGGTTCAGGTCTGGAGACTGGCTAGGCCACTCCAGGACCTTGAGATGCTTCTTACGGAGCCACTCCTTAGTTGCCCTGGCTGTGTGTTTCGGGTCGTTGTCATGCTGGAAGACCCAGCCACGACCCATCTTCAATGCTCTTACTGAGGGAAGGAGGTTGTTGGCCAAGATCCCGCGATACATGGCCCCATCCATCCTCCCCTCAATACGGTGCAGTCGTCCTGTCCCCTTTGCAGAAAAGCATCCCCAAAGAATGATGTTTCCACCTCCATGCTTCACGGTTGGGATGGTGTTCTTGGGGTTGTACTCATCCTTCTTCTTCCTCCAAACACGGCGAGTGGAGTTTAGACCAAAAAGCTCTATTTTTGTCTCATCAGACCACATGACCTTCTCCCATTCCTCCTCTGGATCATCCAGATGGTCATTGGCAAACTTCAGACGGGCCTGGACATGCGCTGGCTTGAGCAGGGGGACCTTGTGTGCGCTGCAGGATTTTAATCCATGACGGCGTAGTGTGTTACTAATGGTTTTCTTTGAGACTGTGGTCCCAGCTCTCTTCAGGTCATTGACCAGGTCCTGCCGTGTAGATCTGGGCTGATCCCTCACCTTCCTCATGATCATTGATGCCCCACGAGGTGAGATCTTGCATGGAGCCCCAGACCGAGGGTGATTGACCGTCATCTTGAACTTCTTCCATTTTCTAATAATTGCGCCAACAGTTGTTGCCTTCTCACCAAGCTGCTTGCCTATTGTCCTGTAGCCCATCCCAGCCTTGTGCACGTCTACAATTGTATCCCTGATGTCCTTACACAGCTCTCTGGTCTTGGCCATTGTGGAGAGGTTGGAGTCTGTTTGATTGAGTGTGTGGACAGGTGTCTTTTATACAGGTAACGAGTTCAAACAGGTGCGGTTAATACAGGTAATGAGTGGAGAACAGGAGGGCTTCTTAAAGAAAAACTAACAGGTCTGTGAGAGCCGGAATTCATACTGGTTGGTAGGTGATCAAATACTTATGTTATGCAATAAAATGCAAATAAATTCATTAAAAATCATACAATGTGATTTTCTGGATTTTTGTTTTAGATTCCGTCTCACACAGTTGAAGTGTACCTATGATAATAATTACAGACCTCTACATGCTTTGTAAGTAGGAAAACCTGCAAAATTGGCAGTGTATCAAATACTTGTTCTCCCCACTGTATCTATACAGTCACTTGTAAGCATTTATGACTTTAATGACAGACGTGTTTGCCAACTTCAACAAGGAAGTGCCACAAAGTCCCCTGTAAAGAGCGTGTCAATCAACTCTCTGAACCCTGCTGAGTCTACAGGAAGGGCCAACAAACCTGTTTAATGACACATTGTGAAACACTTCAGGTTATAAAGTAAAGGATACGTAACGTTTATATATATATATATATATATATATATATATATATATATATATATATATATATATATATACACATACACTGCTCAAAAAAATAAAGGGAACACTTAAACAACACATCCTAGATCTGAATGAATGAAATTATCTTAAATACTTTTTTCTTTACATAGTTGAATGTGCTGACAACAAAATCACACAAATATTATCAATGGAAATCAAATTTATCAACCCATGGAGGTCTGGATTTGGAGTCACCCTCAAAATTAAAGTGGAAAACCACACTACAGGCTGATCCAACTTTGATGTAATGTCCTTAAAACAAGTCAAAATGAGGCTCAGTAGTGTGTGTGGCTTTCCACGTGCCTGTATGACCTCCCTACAACGCCTGGGCATGCTCCTGATGAGGTGGCGGATGGTCTCCTGAGGGATCTCCTCCCAGACCTGGACTAAAGCATCCGCCAACTCCTGGACAGTCTGTGGTGCAACGTGGCGTTGGTGGATGGAGCGAGACATGATGTCCCAGATGTGCTCAATTGGATTCAGGTCTGGGGAACGGGCGGGCCAGTCCATAGCATCAATGCCTTCCTCTTGCAGGAACTGCTGACACACTCCAGCCACATGAGGTCTAGCATTGTCTTGCATTAGGAGGAACCCAGGGCCAACCGCACCAGCATATGGTCTCACAAGGGGTCTGAGGATCTCATCTCGGTACCTAATGGCAGTCAGGCTACCTCTGGCGAGCACATGGAGGGCTGTGCGGCCCCCCAAAGAAATGCCACCCCACACCATGACTGACCCACCGACAAACCGGTCATGCTGGAGGATGTTGCAGGCAGCAGAACGTTCTCTACGGCGTCTCCAGACTCTGTCACGTCTGTCACATGTGCTCAGTGTGAACCTGCTTTCATCTGTGAAGAGCACAGGGCGCAAGTGGCGAATTTGCCAATCTTGGTGTTCTCTGGCAAATGCCAAACGTCCTGCACGGTGTTGGGCTGTAAGCACAACCCCCACCTGTGGACGTCGGGCCCTCATACCACCCTCATGGAGTCTGTTTCTGACCGTTTGAGTAGACACATGCACATTTGTGGCCTGCTGGAGGTCATTTTGCAGGGCTCTGGCAGTGCTCCTCCTGCTCATCCTTGCACAAAGGCGGAGGTAGCGGTCCTGCTGCTGGGTTGTTGCCCTCCTACGGCCTCCTCCACGTCTCCTGATGTACTGGCCTGTCTACTGGTAGCGCCTCCATGCTCTGGACACTACGCTGACAGACACAGAAAACCTTCTTGCCACAGCTCGCCTGGATGTGCCATCCTGGATGAGCTGCACTACCTGAGCCACTTGTGTGGGTTGTAGACTCCGTCTCATGCTACCACTAGAGTGAAAGCACCGCCAGCATTCAAAAGTGACCAAAAAAGCATAGGAACTGAGAAGTGGTCTGTGGTCACCACCTGCAGAACCACTTCTTTATTGGGGGTGTCTTGCTAATTGCCTATAATTTCCACCTGTTGTCTATTCCATTTGCACAACAGCACGTGAAATTCATTGTCAATCAGTGTTGCTTCCTAAGTGGACAGTTTGATTTCACAGAAGTGTGATTGACTTGGAGTTACATTGTGTTGTTTAAGTGTTCCCTTTATTTTTTTGAGCAGTGTATATATACAGTGGGGGAAAAAAGTATTTAGTCAGCCACCAATTGTGCAAGTTCTCCCACTTAAAAAGATGAGAGAGGCCTGTAATTTTCATCATAGGTACACGTCAACTATGACAGACAAAATGAGGAAAAAAAATCCAGAAAATCACATTGTAGGATTTTTAATGAATTTATTTGCAAATTATGGTGGAAAATAAGTATTTGGTCACCTACAAACAAGCAAGATTTATGGCTCTCACAGACCTGTAACTTCTTCTTTAAGAGGCTCCTCTGTCCTCCACTCGTTACCTGTATTAATGGCACCTGTTTGAACTTGTTCTCAGTATAAAAGACACCTGTCCACAACCTCAAACAGTCACACTCCAAACTCCACTATGGCCAAGACCAAAGAGCTGTCAAAGGACACCAGAAATAAAATTGTAGCCCTGCACCAGGCTGGGAAGACTGAATCTGCAATAGGTAAGCAGCTTGGTTTGAAGAAATCAACTGTGGGAGCAATTATTAGGAAATGGAAGACATACAAGACCACTGATAATCTCCCTCGATCTGGGGCTCCACGCAAGATCTCACCCCGTGGGGTCAAAATGATCACAAGAACGGTGAGCAAAACTCCCAGAACCACACGGGGGGACCTAGTGAATGACCTGCAGAGAGCTGGGACCAAAGTAACAAAGCCTACCATCAGTAACACACTACGCCACCAGGGACTCAAATCCTGCAGCGCAAGACGTGTCCCCCTGCTTAAGCCAGTACATGTACAGGCCCGTCTGAAGTTTGCTAGAGTGCATTTGGATGATCCAGAAGAGGATTGGGAGAATGTCATATGGTCAGATGAAACCAAAATATAACTTTTTGGTAAAAACTCAACTCGTCGAGTTTGGAGGACAAAGAATGCTGAGTTGCATCCAAAGAACACCATACCTACTGTGAAGCATGGGGGTGGAAACATGCTTTGGGGCTGTTTTTCTGCAAAGGGACCAGGACGACTGATCCGTGTAAAGGAAAGAATGAATGGGGCCATGTATCGTGAGATTTTGAGTGAAAACCTTCCATCAGCAAGGGCATTGAAGATGAAACGTGGCTGGGTCTTTCAGCATGACATTGATCCCAAACACACCGTCCGGGCAACGAAGGAGTGGCTTCGTAAGAAGCATTTCAAGGTCCTGGAGTGGCCTAGCCAGTCTCCAGATCTCAACCCCATAGAAAATCTTTGTAGGGAGTTGAAGGTCTGTGTTGCCCAGCGACAGCCCCAAAACATCACTGCTCTAGAGGAGATCTGCATGGAGGAATGGGCCAAAATACCAGCAACAGTGTGTGAAAACCTTGTGAAGACTTACAGAAAACGTTTGACCTG